GGACTCTCCAGTCTTCTAAAGCAGATGCAGATTAAACCCACAGGCCAGGACACCACTCTGCCTCATTTGTTTTTAGTCCTCAGTACACTGGCACTACAGCCCAGACTGACCCCTCAAAGGCCCAGTCAGACTTAATTTCCCACCCAAACTTGTGTCTCTTTACACTATTCCTTATGTTTGGAACATCTTTCAAAATATTATTATTTTGTGTGTATGCATGTGTGGGGGTCAGAACTTTTGGGAGTCCTCTCCTGCCACCATGGGTGATGGGCACTGATCTCTCGTGAGGTCATTAGGTGTCAAGGCAAATGCTTTTACCCACTGGGCCATCTCACCAGCCCTAGCTCAATGCTCTTATCTGCCTTGCTAATGCCATTTTATCCTTTCTGACTCAGAATGAGCTTTTCCTCTCCCAGGAAGCCTTCCCTCAACCCAGGGTGATTCAGTTCCCTCATCCTTCAGACCAGGTTGCCCCTTCTTCCTGGTCACTACTCAGCTCAATCTCTGCACATCCTCATTGTGAGTACACTCCTCAGGCCTTGCTTCCTCAAAGTCAGGCATGCTGGCTGACACATTAGGAGGCGCTCAGCCATCAGACTGCAAGCCCATACTCAGGAGAGCCCGTTCCAGGAACAAGAGTCTTCACCTCCTCAGTCTTCATGAAGTAAGGTAGAATCTTTGACGATGAGGCCAACAGAGCAGGGCACTTAGGATACCAGGTTGCCAACAGCCTGGCTGTCCTGGAACTCAGAGATCTGCCTGCCTCTGCCTGAGTGCTGGGATTCAAGGTGTGTATTACCACACCCAGCTTTGAATCTATTTCAAAAGAGGAAAATGGAATCTCCAGAGATAGTAAACCCATCATGTCCCAAGAAATCCTGGCTCTGGTTTTCTATAGTTCAAACCATGTTGGGATCATGGCACACCTGGCTTTACCACTTGTTACCCAGCCCCTAAACTGTCTCACTCAGCACATACAGGCAAAGAGGTCTGGGGAAAGCTAAGGAATTACACTGAAGTTAAAGACATGGCTTCCTGCCAAGAAGACCTGGGAAGTCCCACTAATGATTCACTTACTCAACAAATATCTACAGGGTTCCTAGTACCTGCCTGCACAGGGTTAGACACCAGGAACACAACACTGACCAACACTGACAAAGACATATGAAGTCCCTGTTCCCAAGGGCTGACAAATACCTGAACAATAATAAGCACACGTGATAAATAACTAGGTAATGATAAGGACTACAAAAGGAAAGGATCTGGGGACTAGAGGATAGCGTGATGATCCAAGTGGGCAGGCCAAGATCTGAGCAGGGTAAGCAAGTGCTGAGAGTCAGAGAGAAATGAAATTATGGACAACGATGGAGAGTCAGGAAGAGTGCCAGCACATGGCATAGTGGCCAGAAGGTTATGAGGTGGTGGGAGGTGTTTGGGCAGCCTCATAGGATCTGAGGTTTGAAGCACTGGGAGAGAGGTAGCAGCTCATCTAGCCAGACAAAGTTCTGTGGACTGTTGGTACCCCTATCTACCAGGCTTAGGGGTGCATTCTCAAAAAGCTCGAGAAAGAGATACCATACCCAGCATGGAGTTAGAAGCAATCAGCATTCATTTGGCAACTGCATGGTACACATGATGGTCAGCTCTGTGTTCCTGTCCCCACACCTCTCTAGGGAGACGGACAGGCACAGATGGAGATAGATCAGGGCTCTAGCTTGTCTCTCATACTCCTGGACCAGTTCTTCTAGAGACCTCAGTTTCTAGTCTGTACTATGAAGGTTGGGCCAGAGCCAGCACCAATAGGTAACTGGTTTTATAACTCAAGTACTTGCTGCTGAATTTAAATCAGGAGGGTGTAGGCAGGGCAGGATTTCAACATTTGCCACTGAGTCACTTACCTGCTAATAAAGCATTATATTTGGCCCTCCTTTCCTAGCTTTGGCGGCAGATGTAACTCAAGAATAGTTTCTGTAAGGCTGAGAAAAAAGCTACACAGAGCTGAAGGAATAGAAACAGGAGTGAGGTTTTCATTCTGTGATTGCAGGACTGTGTTAGATGACTGTCGACCCTCAGTTCCAGAGTGACCCCAACAAATCTGGTCGCTTAGTTCTACCTTCTACCTAGGATATTCCCAGGAGACGGGAATCTCCATCTTCACCATCCAGGCTATGCAGTCATCAACAGCTGTTGGGATTCTTATATTAAAACCCCAACTATGACTCCACCTCTGTCCTAGACTTTGGAGACCCACAATGTACCAGCTCAGAACTGTACTGCCACTACCTCATGCTGGGTCCTAGATCAAACCCTAAGAATAGCCACCAGCACTCAAGGGCTCTGCCTGCCGTGAGAAGCTCCACATTTCCAAAGGCAGGGATGTACCTGTAGCTAGTTATAGCCTCCAAGCCACAGTCCAAGCCAGTCTTTTAGAGATCAGAAAATACCAACACAAGCCAGGAGTGGTGGTACACGCCTTTAATCCCGGCAGCAGGAGGTTCTCTAAGGCCAACCTGGTCTACAGAGTGAGTTCCAGGACAGCCAGAGATACAGAGAAACCCTGTCTTGAAAAGCCACACACACACACACACACACACACACACACACACACACACACACTCCCAACAAATGCGTACCACTCAAGCTTCGACAAAAACAAGTCACCAAGTTATCTAGGGAATCTCTCACCCATTATGGAACTTCCCTTCGAAGAAGCCATGCTCTCTCCTCCTTCCTTGAACACTGCCACTAACAGGATGTTTAGTGGGAACTGAGCTGCTGAGGCAAACTAGGCCACTAGGGAGTGTCTCCAAGGACCAAGGAGGTACAAGGAGGCCTCTTGGAGATGTCAAGATAACATAAAATTTGCTTGAGCACCCTCCCCTACCCCACCTAGTCTTTCACCAAAGTAGATCCCAGAGAGCTAAACTGACTAGTTTGCATTTCATTAGTCCTTGTTGAAGTCTATGATGTAATTACACCCACTTTTTTTTCCATTGTGTTTTCTAGGTTGGACAACAACACGGAGAAATTCTCCTGCTATGACAGTAAAGAACTGCTCAAAATCAGCTAATGGAATACAAATTCCCATGCGTTAAAAAATAAAAGTGTCAAAAAATGCAGAGGAGAGCTCAGGAATAGTATCTGCAGGGGGACCACAGCAGGCAGCAGACCCATCCCATTTCCTAGACATTGAGAACATCTAAAAAGAATCAACACAGGCATGTCACTTCTTTCCCTGCTAAGGGCATCAAAAGGTACAGTGAAGAGAGAAGCATGGAGAGAAGAGGCTGTTGGAAGCCATAGTCTAGGATGTGGGCAGCTCAAACTGCTTGCCCCTACGATGGAAACAGGTCAGTACTTCTCCAGGGGCAGATAACCACAGCAACAGTCAGCTAGGACGAGTGCCGATGCCAGGTGGAAACACTGCAATGGTGCTCCAGCGTGGGTTACCTTGCAGCCACCAGAATACAAGAAAGGCAAATGTACAAATGGCAATAAATACTCACGATGTAACTAACATTAAGAGAAAACTGGATTTAGAACTGTATCTACAGGATGTTCTTGACTTTATATAATATGTACTAATAGAAGTAACCACCAGAAAGTTGATTTATCAGCAATCTGATTTTCTTCATGATTGCCTAGACTTTTTGTTGTTTCTTTTTGTTTGTTTGTTTGTTTTGTTTTGTTTTGTTTTTCAAGGCAGGGCTTGTCTGAATGGCCTTCAGTTGGCTGTCCTGGTCTTGCTTGTAGACCAGGCTGGCCTCAAACTCAGAGATCCACCTGCCTCTGCCTCTGCTGGGATTACAGGTGTGCACCATCTTGACCAATTGCCTATACTTTTTAAGATTTCCATAATGAGCTTGTCCTAGAACTCACTCAGTTTCTCCAACTACAGCTAAGGAGTGTGAGATGCTCTGCCTTGTATGGGAAAAGCTGTGGGGTGATTTGAATTCTGCCCACTCCCAACCCCCACCCGTTTATTGAAGGCCTCAGTTTTACCTTGAAGGCAGATCTTCAAAAAGGAAAACCAAGCCAGGTGGATCTCTGTGTGTTCAAGGCCAGCCTGGACTACAGAGTATTAGGACAACCAGGGCTGATACACAGAGAAACCCTGCCTCAAGAGAGCTGGGCAGCGGTGGTGCATGCCTTTAAGCCAGCAAGTGGGAGGCGGAGGCAGGTGGATCTGTGAATTCCAGGCCAGACTGGTCTAGAAGTTCCATACTACATAGAGAAACCCCATCTGGAAAAACAAAAGAAAAACAAACAAAACCCAAGGCTCTCCCACCCCACTTCCACGTATGTCAAACTCAGGGTTCTGAGTGGGCTTCACAGTCTGAGTTGGCACACAAAAGCTGCGGCAGAGGACAGCTGGGGCACACCTGTTCCAGGCAGGCGTGTTCTCCATCCAGTGGCTGTTTCAGGGGATTGCAAAACCCTTGCCACCCTGCCCCATCCAGTTTCTCGCAGCCAAATCCTACTCCACCTTGTGAGAAAGAACAGTACCGGGGGCTGGAGAATGAAATATCACTAATAAGTGAGCAGAGTGGGTGGTGTCACCCTCATCATCTGGGGGATGGGGAGTGATGTAACACATGTTGCAACACTGGTGAGTACCAAGATGGAGAATGAACCCAGGCTTGACTAGGAGACCAGGTTGTCTGTCTCGAAGTGACCAAACAGACTAGGCAAGCATGATTCTTCCCTCATCCCAGAACAAAAATGACAGGATGCAGAGTCAGGTTCCCCCAACAAGAAGCCGGGCGTGCTGGCACACACCTGCAATCCCAGCACTCCGGGTGCTGAGGCAGAAGGATTGAGAGTTGGAAGACAGCCTGGGCTACAAGGTGAGACCTTTTTAAAAACTGGAAGCAGTTGCCTGGGACGCCAACCTAGTTGTCCAGCACAGGGCAGCGTGCCTTGGCCAAAGTCCCTTCTTGAGAGTCGTCTGGCTTGTGCGTACCCCCAGGATGAAAGCTCCGGGGGTGACTGACACTCACCCCATCGCCCAGACCCCTTGCGTGACAGGGCAGAGCCTCCATTCTTGTTCTCGCTGCCGGCAGCTTCGTTGCGACGCTCACCCCGCAGGACCCCGGAGTAAGCGGCGATGAGGGTCTTCATGCTGAAATCGGTGCACGTCACGGCCGTGCAGAAAGCCGCTCCACGCCGCGTCCCCGGCCCATGCCCCGGCCGCTGGGGCCAGGGCTTCGCGCTGAACTCCGGGAGCCGGGGAACAGCGCCCAGGCCGTGGCGGCAGCAACACCACGAGAGCCGAAGCAGGCAGCCGCCGCCACCCTAGGAAAGGCGAAAGGACGGCGAAGCGCGGCCACGGCGGCTAAGCGCCGCCGCGCGCGCGCTTTATAACCTCACAACGGGGCGGGCCGTGACGCTATAGGGCGGAGCGAAAGGCTCCGCCCCCGACCGCACCATATTCTTGTGGGGCTGAGTCTCTCGGGAATAGCATATGCGCAGACGCCATGGCGGTGCCGTGGCCCGACCTGTATGGGACAGAGTTCATAAGCTACGGGAATGGGAGCTGGAGTCTCGGTCGTCCCAGTGGCCGCCTTGTCCTCCTCCCTCGTCCTCCCTCTCAGACATTGGTACGGTCCAGCAGCTGGAACGTGGGCCGGGAAATTGAGCACGTGCGAGGCGATCGGGTCCGTGAGGGAGCCTGTGTTCTTCCTTGCATGCGCCTGCCTTTGGCTGCAGACGGGCCGGCCTTGCCTGCGGTCCGTAGTGTTGGGATTAGTTAGGTCACAGAGGGACTTCACAGTCATCCAAGTGCCCTGTCTTTCCGTTTATCAGGAAGAACAAGCTTGGGCTATCTGGTGGCCCTGTCTCCAGACACCGGAGATAGAAACAATTCTATGAACATAGTGATGCTATATTACATCAAGTCAAGTTCCAGGCTTCTGTTTTCCTCATCTTCAGGGGATTTTTGCTTGCTTGCTTGGTTTGGTTTGGTTTGGTTGGTTGGTTTTTTAGAGACAGGGTTTCTCCATATAGCCCTGGCTGTCCTGGAACTCACAGAGCGCCACCTACCTGCCTCTGCCTCTGCCTCTGCCTCTGGAGTGCTGGGATTACAGGTACGTGCCACCACACCTACTTTTCTCGTCTGTAAAATGGGGAATAAACATGATTGTTTTGTGAGAGGCTCTGAGAACTAAGGAGGTGAGGTATGAAAAGCACGTTGCTCACTGCAGGCACTGAAGGTTAGGAATTATTTCCATTGCCCATGATGAGTCGGAGTTTTGCAGAATGAGGGTGTGAAGGCAAGCAGAAGGCCCGCATAAAGTCTGAACAATGAGCGTGTTTGGATTGGGGCTAGGACCCTCAGTGACTGTAGTTCAGGCAACTGTGGTACAGGACGCTGCAGCTTGGTCTTAGAAGATCCTTGAGTGTCTCCCGGCGTGGGAGTGAGTTCTTGGGAGAGCCTTAATAAAGGAAATGTCAGTGGTAAGATGAATTCTAGGAGCCCTCTAGATAGAGTATGAGAAATAGATGGGAGCCCCGCTGTGGGAGGGAGCTAGGTAAGAGGGTTAGCCTCAAGCAAAGGCAGTAAAAGGAATGCCCTGCAGGGGAAAAAAAAAGGCATAGGAGGGCTGGGGTGTGGCTCACCCTTGGGCTACATACATAAGGCCTGGGAAATAGGGCTTTGGGGGAGAGTGGAAAAGAAAGGAGGTAAGTTCTAACAGAAGAGGAAAGGATAGTCACAAAGTCCCAGGAAAGCTAGTCACATACTATGTCCATGGGAAATGGACATGTGTCACGCAACCACTGTGGGAGACAGTAGGTGTATATTTGGGGAGCAAAGAAGAGTTCAGCCATGTGGGTGCTGTAGTGCTAATAGATATTGGAGGCAAGCCTCCTTCCTGCTGGATGTTTAGCATGCATAAGACTCTGGTTTCATAACCTAGCAACTCACACGAGAGAGACAAGAGACAGAGAGGTGTTGGCACGGAAGACCCCAGATCACTGTAAGGCACATGCCTTCTCTAGAAGCATCTCCTACGGAGGAGGCCTTGTGCTGTAACCCGCAGCCCACTCACCTCTAATACTGTGTAATGGGCAGAGATTAGGATGGAAGGCCATAGGCCTGGTCTGTGGTCTCACCTCTATCAGTGACTTGTCAAGTGTCCTTGGGTGAGTCACTAGTTGTTTGTCACAAAGTGAAGGTGGTTGGACATACCTGTTATAATCCAAGCACTTGGCAGGCAGGGAGGAAGCCCCAGGAGCTGAAGGTCTTTCTTGACCAGATAATGAGTTGGGAGCTAGCCTGAATTAGATGAAACTGTCTCAAAAAAGAAACAGGAGGAAGGAGGGGAGAAGGGAAAGAAGGAGACAGAAAGAATGGGGTGACAGTTCCTATCTTGAGTATTTATGGACCAACTAAAATAATATGGAAAGGGTGCTACCCTTATGCAATGAGAGTAAGATATCATTATCTTATGATAACAAACGGCAAGACTTTGGGTAAACAAGGTCCATTGGAAACATTCAGATCCCAAGTTCGTGGACTTCAGCATTTTCCTATGCACCTTCTCTGAGCCATGTACTGATTGGAACACACAGAATTAGACCTAGTCTCTGCCTTTGTGGAGACTCAACCAAGAGATGAGACCAGTGGTCAAAGGATGGACAGGCCAAGGTCACCCCTTCCCTCCTGGCTGCCATTGCCTGCCTCCACTGAGCTTGGAATCTACCCCAGCCTAGGAGCCCTTGGTCTGTGCCCACTCCGGGTCTGACTTAGCCAAGAAGCTCAGTGAACAGTGGATTGGCCAATAGACGTGACAGTAGTCAGGGAATGGTAAAAGAGAAAGTCAAGAGGAGGCATATTGCTACCGGATATGAGATGAATCTGTCCTGTTGATCAGGGAGGAAGGCCATATATTCAGGGTCCAGCATGGACAGAGGTCCGGGAGTGAAACCCTACCATGACTGGAAAAGGGATGTAGATGGCGAGCTGAGGAAAAGGTAGGAGGTGAAGTTGAAAAGTTGACAAGAGCCAAATCGGGGGGGGGGGGGTTTCATAGTTCAGCACTGGGTCTGACTTCATCCTGTGAATGATAGAAAATGAGCAGGGTGTGAGGTCTTGGATAAGATGATGGGTTTGCAAGACAGACTGAGCTGGCAGTGTATATATAGGTGGAAAATTTGGGAAACAGGACTGTAAAATCTAGTCCCTAATGCCAGGCAGTGGTGGCATATGCCTTTAATCCCAGTACTCACAAGGCAGAGGCAGATGGATCTCTGAGTTAAAGGCTAGCCTGGTCTACAGAAAGAGTTCCAGGACAGCCAGGACTACACAGAGAAACCCTGTCTTGAGAGAAAAAAAAATCTAGTTCCTAGTTTAGACCGTTCAATGTGGGAACATGTACCAAGAGTTACAGAGAAGTCCAAGAGCTCCCTTCTCATCCAGCTTCTATGGCTACGCTCACTGCTTACGTACATTGGCTCAGATTAGATGTGGATGGAAAACCAGACCCACAGTTAGAAGCTTAAGAGAAGACATTGTGAGGCTGGAGAGATGGCTCAGCAGTTATAAGTATCAGCTGATCTTCCACAGAACCCAGCTTAAATTCCCTGCCTTCACATGACAGCTCACAACTGAACGTAACTCCAAAGGTTCTGATCCCGGGGATCAGAACCAGGCAAAACATCCACACACATGAAAATAAATAAGAGAGAACACTGAGTTGGGATATCTCCTCTGTAAGAAAGTGGGTGTTGGGGGCTCACGGTGGCTACTGACTTCTGTTTTCCTCTCTACACATCTAAACACCCTTAGAATTTTATGACGGCCTGCCTGTTCTTCACAAGGATGAACAGGTCAACTATAAGATGTGTTCTAGACCTGTGTCACCGCTCCTTCATTGCTACACATCCCAACTCGTGAGCACTTTGAATAACCAGCGATGGTTCGAGAAGGGCTTGACCAAGAGGAGCGTACTAATACTCCATACAGTCACCAGTGTCAGGTTGCCATTACGTTTTTTTGTTATTTTCCCAAGACAGAGTTTCTCTGTGTAACAGCCCTGGCTGACCTTGAACTCACAGAGAATCCACCTGCCTCTGCCTCCTGAGCGCTGGGGTTAAAGGTGTGTGCCACCAGCACCTGAAAGGTTGCTACTAGGAACTGTATATGGCCTTGTGTTTCTATGGACAGTGTACAGACTGAATGGGAACCTTACCTCCCTCCCTCATACAGAAGATGGTAGAAGAAGTGGAGGTTCACAAGGCACAGCGCCCTGCTCTGTGTTAGGCCCCAGCTGATGTGATCCTATCCAGTCCACAGCCACTGCAGCAGTGATTATCACCCCGCTCAGGGACTGAGGTCCAAAGAGGGAAAGAGAAATGTCAGTGGAAATGTACCTCTGATTAGAAGTCTGAAAGGCTTCTGGCTCCAAGCATTTCAGATGAGGGGCACTCAGCCTGTGGAGAAGCTGGAATCCATACCCCAGTCTCTCTAGCCTGAAGCCCACATCCTGCTCTCCCATCCCCTCTGGCTGCAGAAGGATCCACCTTGAACACAGAACTCCTGGGTGAAAAGGAACTCTCACCCATCACCCCCTTTAAACAGCTCCCACAGTCCCATGAGATTATTCCCATTTTGTCATCGAAAAGACTAATCTTAGGGAGCTGATGGGTATCAGGGATCGGGTAGGATTTAACCAGCCTCACACTCATGGCTAGGGCCTTTGAGGTTCAACTCGGGACGGGCTCACTTCACTTACAGAAGGAGGGCAGAGGTTTGGGCAAGGGAAAGGCAGCCTGGCATGGCTCGCTGGCTCAGAACTCATCTCCTTCTCTCGGTAGCAATCTGCCAGCTGGAGCTGCTATGTGGCTGTGCTGCACCCTCCTGGGCTCCCTCCCATTTCTAAGCCCTTCACTGTCCTTCTTCTAGACATCCCTACATGCCACTTGGTCATTAGGGGCCAGAAAGAGTGCAGTCTCAATTCCCAAGCTATAGATGTGGACTTTGTCCTTAGAGCAATGGGAGCTGTGGAGGATTTTAGCAGAGGCGAGGCATGCTCGTTTTTATGCTCTGTAAGGTCACCAACAAGAACACCTTTAACCAGCACCTTTATGGCATCCTTCCTGATCACCTCTGCCTTAAATTAGATTCCCTGCAGGGAGCAGCCTACTCAAATTGGGTAATTTGAGGAAAGTTTAATACAAAGACCGTTTTCAAAGATGTGGGCATGAATATGGGAGACTTTCTCCAAAACTATTGACATTTAAGGCCCATGGACAGAGGAGCCAAAGGGGGAGAGCTCTACAGAGTGGGCGTTGAGGGGAGAAGACTGCCCAATAGGAGCTGTGGGCAAAGACAGCCCATGGTAACCTGGCAG